TGCGCAGGAGACTAAAAAAATTGATAAGTTATCAATGGTTCACATACAATCAACTATATATGGAATGATAAAGTATATTTATATTTTTTACATTCATAAAACATAAATTAATATTGATAACCTTGGAGTTAAGCATATACCATATATACATATATATATTTTAATATAATACATTGTCGTTATGAACTTTAAACTTTTAAAAATAGTGATACGATAGCTCAACGTATACAGATGCATTTTATACTACCAAAATGCTAACTTTATTATTGCGTGTAATGAAATATTCAAATACAAAAAATCGGAAATAGTGTCAAAAGTTAAAAATACTTACTGCAATAATTTCAAGTCGTAATAAAACTTTATTGTATCCATCTCTACTTATATTAAATGTTCTTCGATTATACTGCAATTTGTAATTAAATACTTCTTGTGCTTAATTAAATACATATTACTAATATAAATGTGTTTTTTAAATAACTTATGAATATTTCATATAGTATTAAATAAAAAATGAGATGTCTACATATTAAAGCAAGAAATCAATTCGTGCAGGTCGCATATGAATTTGGAGCAAAGGGAGTAAAATCCATCACAAAATCCAACACACAACAGAGCCGTAAATAATCAACGGCTCTTCGATCCGACAACAATATTATAACACTGGGACTACCGTTACCGATAACGTGCGATTGACAGGTCAGTCTCTATCGGCATATATCCTATCTTTGTCTCCGTGACAGGTGCTGTGGTGCAGTTGCACTGAAAACGTGCGATTTGTATAACGTGAAGATTTCTGACTTTCACGAGAGCAATAGTTTTCGTTCCTCAGTTGCAATAACTCGTCGCTGTCGTTGATACTCGAGAAAAACAAATTCATGTTGTTTTTCTTCAGAACTTGTTCTGATAGTATGGCAACATATCTTTTCATTGTTTCCTTCGCATCTTCCGCCGCTTGGTAAGTTTTCTGTAAAAAGATTTACACAAATGACCACTGTGGATTGACCGTAAAAATACGGGTCAAAAGTTGCATGCATCAAGCAACCGCAAAGTGCTTGGCATCAAAAGTTTTTTGCTTCCTTCTGTATATTTCCCTATACCTGACCAGTAACAACATCGACTTTTCCGGAGCAATGTTTCAATATTTCACCGCTCTGATTTTATTCAATTGTGTTTACTGCGCCTAATAAAAAATAAAGTAGGTCATCACTGCTATGTTTTTACCACAATCTCCGATTTGTTTTGTTTATCTTCAGTGAGCCTGAGCCATTGCAAAAAGGTACCTTATACACGTTCCTCGCTTTTTCGTATTTCGGGTAAACGAGCCTCAGTAGCAAGACTCTTGTGTTCCAATGCGCCAGCTGCGTTGGTATTACCATCTCTTTCGTAAGAGCTACCGCTGAGGAACCAGACGGTGTATCCTCGCAAAATTGGATATTGCTTCGTACACATATACCAATATAAGGAGAAATAAAGGACTAACTCTTGATTGGACCCTCTCTTCTTAGGATACTGTCTGAGATGAATGGTCGGTCAACCACCCAGCAGAAGGCACTCCGACTCCATTTGTCCTTCAAGGGAACATCTCCCATACCTCCCGGTCAGAGGGCATACCGGACTCTCCTTCATCTGCTCGTACATCTCCAACTTGGTAATTTTGTTCTTAACCGCCAGAATCATTAGCGACGCGATCTTCACATACTCCTGTGCAAATTCCTCGACCATTTCACCTGCACAGTTGAAGTTTAATTTCAAAGGATCAAACTCTTAGTTTAAAGATTTTTGCCGCCATAAACTCTATAACGTCAATATTGCATCATGCGATCATATATTGCTACTACAAACACTTATATATCTCTTCTTTTCATTTAATTAAAGTTGCTACATAGAGTTAGAAGGATCCAATTCACCGCTGTTGCAATAGAAGATTGGATCCTTTTAACAGTTCAGTATTTTGCGATACTTTTTCGATAAGTCTGTACTTTATCTAAATAGTTAGGGCACTTTGATTCTTTGTAAACGCACGAACCATCATCCAATTGCTCTGCAACAGAGTTTTGCTGACACGTAAGATGCGAAGAAAATGATGACTTTAACCGGATATGCTGGATACATGCCAGATCACCGTTTCAAAATTTTTATTTTGATATTTGAAATTTTATTCGTAGTACATATAATCTTTTAATAAATTTAGCTTGATTTAGGCCGTTTTAATCATTTAATTTATAATGTTTTAATTATTTTGTTAAAAAGGGTATATTTGCGAAAGACTATTTGACACTTTTTTGTATAAATATGAAGAAGTATGTATATTAATTAAGTAAAAAAAAAAAATATTATTTTTTAGTATAAATGTATTATTAATAAATAAAAAAAAAGAGGGATAAAAAACAATTTTTTTAATCAAAAAATCACGAATTATTTATAAACAACTAAAAAAACACGATTTATTGATAGATAGGTATGCTGTTGAAAATCTAGGTCAAGATGATCTTCTGTGCTGCCTGCGTGATACAATTACATTGAAAGTTAAATGTTCTCAACAGGTTAAAGGCTGCTAATGTAATTCTTGAAGAGATCAATATCGTGAGAAATAAACTTTCTAGAATAAGAGAGGTAAGTAGTTTAGGTGCGAGAAAATTTCATTAATCGCTTCTGTGAAACTCTTAATTCATGTATATCTTATTAGCATTTCTCTTCGAAAATCTATGTATAATTTTATTAAATAAATTAATGTATTATAATCAGGGAATGGAAGTAACTCGTTACTTGTAACGAAGTTACAGTTACAAGTTACTTTTTTGGTAACTTTACTGGTAACTGCGTTACTTTCTTTTTTTGGTAACTGTAACGGTAACGAGTTACATTTTTTGGGTAACGGTAACGAAATTTACAGTTACTTTTGTCGTTACTTTGCACACGATTGAACACGGTTCGATTGGATACATGCTATTTACAGCGCTTATCAATAAGACTTGAAAGCCCTTAGACATTCGGCCGTATGATTCAGTAATTATTTTACACTTCTATCTTCTATGTAATACATAGGACATACAAATATTTCAGTTTGCTGCATATTTTACAGGTTTTAGAATTACAAAATTGTGTTTAAAAAAAATTAAAAAATAAATTAAATAATAGTAAAATGAGAATGGCTACGAACCCAAAAGCGAAACAGTTTAAAAGACGATGACAATAAGTGTGGAAACGTCGTTTGTTTTTATCTTGTTTTATCCATGTTGTTGTTCTAATATATATTTATACATTTAATTACATTGTCATCGTCGTTCTTATCGGAAATAAACTGTTTCATTTTTGGCTCGTAACCCTTCTCATTTTACTTTTATTTAATTTATTATTTGAGCCATTCTACATTGTTTTTTTTTTTTTAATAAAACTATATATATATTTGTCAGTATTACATATAAAAAAAAATGCAAAAGTACATTTTTAAATTGATTTTAAAAAAGTAACGGAAAAGTAACGAAAAGTTATTTTTCAAGTAACGGTAACTGTAACGAGTTACTTTTAAAAAGCGATAACTGTAACTGTAACTAGTTACATTTTTTACTCGGTAACGAGTAACTGTAACTAGTTACTTTTAAAAAGTAACTTTCCATTCCCTGATTATAATTGTAAAAGCACGAAGAAGCTCTATATTAAACTTCTTTTTTCTTAAAAAAAAAAAAGCATGTACAATATATCTTGTACAATTAAATTAAATTCGCACACACTTACATACATCGTTTAAATTGTGTTATTTTATGGAAACATTATAATAAAATTGTAACGTTAATTAAAAAATGATAATTAAAATATAATGTTATGAAATTTTATAAGTATCTATTTTCATGTGTTTTTCTTTAGTATTAATCTTGATGTTAATCTAACTGTAAAATAAGATTTCCACTGCAGATTGAAATAAATTAATTATAAACTTAAATGTAATATTAGTGTTTTATATTACTGTGATGGTCCTGTAAGCCAACTACAATGTATACTGTGTGATTGCTTAATAGTACGCAATATTGCTACTAGAGGGATGCGCGGCTGATGCTCTTCCTTTAAAAAAATATATCACGTGATGCATTATAATTAATGCATCCACAATATAGAATTGATGTCTCTCATGAAATTGATTTATGTGTTTCTGTTTTTGTCCTTTGTATTAATGAACTTAGTATTAATATTTTAAAAATTGAAACTTATTTTTATTATTATTTTATTCTATGACCTTCTTGTTGTTTTGATATATTTATATTTTTGAAATATTTGGATTTAATTTCCAATAATGTTTTTATAACATTCTGACTTAGATTTGATTGTTTTTAGTCGCGTAAAGTTGTAATTTTAATCTATTAATAATGCGCATATTAATGGCGTTTTTTTATTTTCGTAGATGTATGAATCTGTAATTATTAAGGAGAAAATGTTAAAATACCAATCAACAAAAAAATAGCAATCGAGAATAAATTTACTACATTGTTAGCAAATAAATTCAAAGATATTAGAAGAGTACTAACACGATCGATTGCTGGTGTTAGCTTGAACATTTATGTATTAAAAAATTTTAGTGTTTATTTTTATAAATTATTTAACTATGAATGTTTACATAATTTAAATTAATCGAGAACAATTAAAATTGCGATATTAGAAACATTCTTTAAATTTTTTTAATTTTATACAATTTTATAAAACTAACTGCAATAAGATATTACATTACAAATATTGAAATAATTATGTGAAATAATATAACTAAATATTAAATTTAGATTTATTCATTAAAGGCAATTTTATACTAAGCAAGAATAGTAATACTTTAATTATTGCATTATTGTTACGATAGTTTTGAATTTATTCACTGTTGGTAACTTTATATCTGTTGAAATAGTATGTTCAAATAGTTGAAATATTTTAGATGGCGCAGTTGTCGTATGTCAGCAGTAGAATTGAACACGACAACACGACATATACGTGAACACTAAATATTGAGTATTCTGCTGTCCAGTAAATGTAGAAAAATTAAATTAGAGAGGTTATGTTGCATGAACGTAACTTATTCAAGGTATTGCATTTTTTAAATAAATTATACAACTGAGAATATCCACTTTTCTAAAAAATGATCGGTATCCAAAAGGATTAAAGTAAACAGAACAAAATTATGTTCATTAACCGATAGAGTGACAGTGTATTTACTAGTACGACATAGAGGCTGAAAAATTATTTCTAAAAGAAAGAAAAAAGAATGGAAAACCGTTGCACCGATTTATTTCGTGTCATCTTAATGCTAAACTGTCTTGTCCTATTTCTTTCTTTCACGGAAGGGAGAAGTGCACCAGTGGCACTGAGTGTCATAGACATTATGAAAAATGACTCGAAAATATGCCCGACATCTCAATTTTTATATGATTCAAAGTATACAAAACTTTGTGCAAACGTTGCATACCCAATTCCTTCGTGGGTATACAGTTCAGAAACTGTAAATAGTTTTCTGTGTTTAGGAGTTTACGATACAGCATATAAGATTTGTCAATATTCTAGTCAGTTACAAATTCCTTTTAATAATACAGCAGCATTCAATTCATATGTGGAAGATTATGTTCTCAATGAAAATAAACAAGAAGATGTTTGCAACAATCTACAGGGATTTACACCGCTATATGATAAAATAGATTTACTTTGGGGACCATTGGTCGAAAATCTTAATGTACCTCATAAATGTAGCAAAATATGCTTCGATCTTCAAGATAAATTTCAGCCACTATGTGCGGTATTAGCTTGGATCAAAAGCTTTGACGATAATATGATGAAAAGTATAAAAGAAGTAGAAACAAAACATGACCTTGTAACATCTGATAAACCGCATATAAGTCAGTCAAAAGATGAAGTAACAGGTGACATTAAAACTACTCCAATTGAATCTAAAAAAACAGAAACAAAAGAATTTAAGGAGCAAGACAGGAAGCAACTTGTAGATTCCAATGATAGTGTTAAAAAAGGTAACTCAAATGTACCTGACAACGTACCACTTACAAATGTAAAATCCAATAGAGAAAAAACAAAATTTCCTACAGAAAAAGAGAATAACATTCAAAAGAAAATGAATAATACTTTAGAGACACATAAATCAGCATCTGCAATATTTAAAGAAAATAAAGAGAATAGTATTGGTACTGAACTAGGTAATAATGCCGAAGTTCCAAAACCTATGAAAAATATTCCTCTAAATAGCGATTCCCAAGCTCCATCAATAAATAAAGCTATAAATAATATAAATGAAAACGTAAAAGAAGAAAATACACAGAAATCTAATAAGGAGCAAAATGTTGATGATTTAAAACCTAGTACATTATCAGAAAATACGCAAGATCATTATGATGCAGCTAATCCAGAAGAAAATATGGAAAATGATATAGATGGTATATTAATACTTTTAATATATATTTTTGTAATGTATTGTCAATGTTTATAAATGTGTATTTATTCATTTAATTTATTCTTTAAAATATATGCAGATGATTTTTTAAAATAAAGATAATAAAAATAAATTGGATTTTTGCATTTTTATTCAAAATTTTATATTCTATATTATCTTTTTATTAAAAAAAAATTAAGGATTATACAAATAAATAAATTGTATTCATATTGGGAAAATATGTTTATGTGTATATATAGAAA